AAAATACCTGTGGTTCCGGTTTCATATCACAAAAAAATTAGGGTCGGTAGGTCAGAAATAATTTTTTTTCAATAATTTTTTCATGGTTTTTTCAACAATTAGTGTGACAACGTACAGACGCCATTTTGGCAGCAGCCCGCAACCAAGCAAAGAAAATAGGGTCGCATGGTCAATTGGCCTTTCTCACCCTGACGAATATCCGCCATTTTTGGGTGCCATCTAATTCTCGTTAATCAATGCAGACAATTAAAACGTTAACAATGTGAAAAGCAATTTTTTAAAATAAACTAACCATTTACCGAGCAAATTTATCATCATTTGTCCAAAACACTATAAAAAGTCGCTGTTATGTGGACTTATCTCACAGACTTCGGCTGAAAAGCCACCGAAAAATGGCGGCGTGAGAAAGGCTAATTCCATTGAAAAAATAATAGGGTCGGTCGGGAACCGGAACCACAGCGGGTATTTTTTTAGGCCTACGCTTGCTTTTCTTGTATTCTACAGCTCCCATGCAGCGTGTGTCAATCAGCTAGCACACTCACAATGTGAAGATTTTCAAAATCCATTAAGACATCTGATACATCCTCATTTAGCTCCCGATTCAACTTCTTTTCGCAATTAGTGCACATTCCTAAAATGAAACGTACAGAATATTTGTGCTCAGTGTTGGTTATGTTTCAAAATTCAGATCACTGAATATCTGACTTTTGCGGATACTCACCAGAGCCAACTTGGATAAGTTTCCCACTGGCATTTAAAAGTATTTCAGATATGCGTTTACCGACACCTCTGTCTGCCCTGGGTAGCTTTCCTTTGTGTCCAGATACCTCTTTTGGTATTCTACATCTCGTATTGGAGCCCCGACTCCACCCAACACCAAGCACAGAACGATGGTTTGGACAAATATTAATCTCTTCTAAGTTATGTGGTGTTTTAAACATACCAGCACGAGACAGTATTAACTCCACTTCATTTTGAGGGCCAGAAAACTTACAACATCATAGGTGACTACTGATGTCCTTTTTACATGAAAGTATAGGTATCACCTGAGTGGCATGTGTACAGTCTTTACGATCAAAGCCACAGAATCCGCCAACAGTAGCCTTAAGGGAACAGCAAATCTCCATAATTTATATTAATATTCTAATAGCGAGAGAGCATTGATGTCATAGCATTGACGACATAACGGTCAAAGCGTTTGTTGTGAAATCACAGTGATGAGTGTAACTTAGCGGTTAGCCCGTTTTACAGGCGGGCTGGCGCCAAAACAAAGCTCCCGGATTCAGCGCTATAAATAGTGTAGTATAAATATATGATCCTGTGAAATCATACAAGTTTCATTGCCACAACCCACGGAGACGCTGACAAAGACCTTTTATTAAGATTGTATTCTGTCGGAAAAATGTTATATACAACATTATATTCCCAAGAACAGAACAATAATAGTCAGCCCAGTTAGGCGAGCCACAATATTAACAACGACAATGACAAATATGTCAACGCTTGTCAATCAAGTGTCTTGCAAGAAATTGAAGTTTGAACAAGTTATGAAAGATTGAAAGTTACGAAAATATTTCGCTTCAGATATAAAACATTGATTTATCATACAAAGAATACAATTACATGAATTTTACAAGAAGAAAATGTGAAGGAACTGCAATGAGCTCAATTTTTCATACAATTTTGTTGGTCACGCGACGCTACACACCACGATGATTCATGGACTCAGTCGTAAAGTGACACAGGAAACAATGCCTTTAACCTGGCAAATAATGGATGAAACAACCGTTAATCTCTTAAACTTTAACAACTTACAAGGTTAGAGCCAATATTTGAGTTTTAAGAATGTTATCTATCGGTAAACACGAATGAATTTGTAGCCCACCAGATGCTGCCATGTACATTTCATTGTAGTAAACATTCGAATTTTACGTAACTTTGACATCACGTCTCGTGAATATAAATCAAATACACAAGCAGATATTTACATCAGCTAACTAATCATCATTTCGACTTTTAACGTCCTGAAACTTGTTGGATTTAGATGTATTGCACATAGTTTAAATGACCGTTATTTCGAGGCTAATTTCACAGTCAGAAAAAGTATAGTGAATATAAAAAATTGTCATTATTTTAGTACAAAACTCAAATCTTTCATAATGATAGTGAGTCAAGTATATATGACAACAAAAACAAATATCATATTTTCAAATCCAACAGTTAAATATTTTCGTTACACAAAGTCGATTAAGTTGGTCAATCTGGAGCACTTCTAATTAGTATATTTACCCACTCTGACTAAAACAATTATTTCTCAAAAACAAAATCGTATTTTGACAAATAAACTATGCCACGATAATTAGGATATAATACACGACAAAACGTAAAAGTATGAGCAAAATCGATTTTTAGAGTGTTGCCATAAACTTTCGAATTTGTCTGATGCTTGTTGACATTCGCTCTTAATGTCTGAGACTGAAACTTGGTTGTAAGGGTTTTTATGATGTTAATTTGATCCCAGCTAAACAATGCTGTTTTCATACATTTACCTGACCTTTAGTATGAAATGTTTTTTGAGCATTCACGATGTTGTGGCGAAAGGGAGAATTTGAATCTTTTAATATGTCCCTGAATGACTCTTCTCTCACCAATTCTGCCGAGACAAATGCTATTTTATACGAGCCATTTGCGAATATCTTCAAATGATATAGTCGATGCATCGACAGCAGGATAACCCAGTCGTTCCATGTCATCCAGCTGGTCTTTGATGATACTTTTCAAAGGAGAGATTACAAGAAGAGCTGCTCTTCCTGATAACTGGTAGTCACATGCTTGCAAGAATGTTTGGTATATCAAACTCTTGCCAAAACCCGTTGGTAAGAAGGCTAAAACATCCTTCCCTGCCAGCAGATCCCTAACCGCAATTTCTTGCTCAGGTTTTAAATTAAAGGAACGACCTGATGCGACTTCAATATCTATAAGAACTCTCGAAAGAAGTTCGCTGTGATTCTCATGAATATATTCGCCTTCGAGACCCACCATCTTGAGTTTATTTACCTTACAGGAAAACCCCTACATACTAATTAGTCAAAATAAGCCAATCAGAATTTCGCGGCTTTGAGCGGCCGTAGAAACGAAAACAGATAGACCTTTACGGCAGGCGTTTCCTCCCCTTTTCCCCGCATGTTTTTCTCCCGCTCCTCCCCCCTCATAAAACGCCGGCAATGCAGCTATTTCCAACCCAACCCTTCAACCTTCTCCCACTGAATTCGATCATGATCCTCATCACAATACTAGTAACGTCACTACTGTTCCTCAGCAACCCACCTCCGATGCGGGTGTTCTGACAAGAGTTGTCGACCTTCTTAGTCAGCAAAATAATCACGACTCTCTACCTCGTCCAGAACTCGAAGTATCTGATGGTAATTTGTTGCGCTATCCAACTTGGGTTAAGTCATTTGAGATGTTTATAGAAAGAAAAACGACTGATCCCTCGGAAAGGCTGTTTTACCTTGGAAGGTTCACTTCCAGCGAAGCCAGAGGCAACAAATGGTCTTCTACCGCTGAACAGTGAACAAGCGTATGCGAAAGCGAAGAATATTCTCTCTTGTCGATTTGGAAATCCCTTTCTAGTCTCTAATGTGTATAGGAAGAAAATAGATGAATGGCCAAAGATACCAGCGAACAACAGTGCTAGTCTTAGAAAATTTTCCGACTTCCTTCAACACTGCTGTACTGCCATGGGCCACATTCAGTACCTAAGCGTCTTGGACGATCTTGAAGAAAATCAAAAGGTTTTAGGTAACAACTGGATCGGTATCGATTAGAAGAGATTGGATATGTACATATGATTTGTCAGGAAAAAACAAGAAACAAAAATAATACTAGGGACTATTGTACATTTAAGTTACAAACGTCACACAACAAGTTCAAAGATGCCCTTCTGTATTTTATTATAGGCCCATTATCACTTTAATGTATTTGGGAAATATGTTATTAACAAATTAGACTTGAGCAACTCTCGAAATTCGCCTCGGCACTCGGCAATTGCCGACGCAATTGCAGACACAAATGCCGAGGCAAGTTACGATTTTTCATAGTTTGCCTCTGCAAAAAAATGCCGAGGCAATTACACCCGTTGTACCTTAACTCATTAACGCCCAATGCGCCCGTATGCGCCCTGAGATTGACAAGTGGGTAACGGACAATGCACCCGAATGCGCCCTCAAATGACACCTCAACTTGCGGGCATGATATTTGAGCACGTGTTTATTGGGTTGCCTAGCAACGGATACGAAAATAGAACGTGAAATTCGAGCTTTTCAACGGTGTATCATGCAAGAAAATTGGTCAGAAACTCGCAAAGTTTTTCAAGTTTAAAACCTTAGTTTTTCAAAAATAATGAATAATGGAGATATTGTTGCAAAGAAGGATTTTACAGCAAGTTTTAAAAGTGAAAAAAGAAGAGGTTTTCGGATGATATACAACGAAAATTTGGCATGAAAGGAAAGCGAATGTATTGACGTTTTGGGCCAAGTTTTTCTGTGAACCTTGCGCGAGATTTTCAGCCAAAAAGATGAGGATTTCTACAAACTTTATTAAAAATAGAAGTCGGAAATCACAAGAAAGATGAACACGGAACACAAGTGAGCAGATACGATTTTTTAAAGGGTATTTTTGAGTAGAAATATGCGATCAAACACTCACAAAATTCGACTGCATTAATGTTGGTTGAATCTAGTTTAAAGTTATCTTTTTAGACAATCTGTTTATGTTTCGACTGTTTTCGTGACCCCATTGTTGGTCTTCTTGTTCAAGTTGTTATTTTAGCTAAAGTATGTTTCAAACGACACCAGATTGTGCGTACGTGCCCTATTTGGCAAGAATACTTCGAGTATTAAATTACACTAAATAAGTAGGATATTCCAAAGTCACTGTTATATCTATTTTCATCAATTTAGTGTTAAAATGACAATTCGTTTCAGACATATTGTGGTTTAAAATAAGTGTATTGAATAAACGCGCTTGCTTGCCGCGTGCGAATTCTCAAAAAGTCCGCACTTGAGTTGTAAAGCTTTCAAAATGCTTTTTACTGGTTTTTATATCCCCTATAAAACTTTAAATCGATAAAGCAGATAATAATGTTGATGAAACATCATTTTCTAGTAACTACACATTGAATCAGAAGAAAAAGTTATCAAAATAGGTCGCGACGGTTGTTTGGCAAAATGTCGCTTCTCTCTGAAATGGCTTCCTTTGCGGGAAGCCATGAAATTGAAGTCCTAACAAAAACTAACCTTAGCAGTTCTTTTGGGCCCATTGCTCACTTATTTATCATGAAATCGCTTCACTAGAACATTTTTAATAATGTCTATGGAAAACTTTGTAATTTTCTGAACATAAGTTTATGGTTTCGAGGTGTTTATTTTATAAAATAGCACGCGCGACAAAATGGCACTTTTGTAGTTTCTCACATCTGACAAACAACCAAAGATGAAAGTCCTTATTTCACCTTTTTATAGCTATGTGGAATACCTAAAAATTAGGTTATCTTTTTCATGTGAGTATATAGATAACATTTCTATGCAATAGTCCTTATGAAGGCTTATTTCAAACTAAAAAAAAGCGATTGTTTTTCAGAGCCAGACTTCAAAAGAGAACGCGTGTCTGACATTTTATAGCAGCCTACATTGGTGCGCAAAATAATTTTGGCTAAAAACCGTTGCTTTTCCAACAAAAAAACATGAGAAAATTGAGCTAAAAGTCTTACCTGATGTATGTTTAAAATGTTTTTCTTTTTATGGTGTTTTTCAGTGCTTTGAGTAGAGGTTAATAGCTTTTGGTTTTGTCACCACAATTTGCCTTTGAAAATGTCGGCTGTCATTGTCTGTGTTAAAAACACCTCAGAAAATTCCTATTTTCTCACCTTCCCATCCTTGGTTTATATTGAAAATAAATAGATTCTAGTACCATATGTCCTTATAAATATATTTGAAGTAATTAAAAACTTGAAAGATGTACAAGCACTGTGTTTTGGCTTGCACACTTTGTTGAATTTGAACACTTAGTTACTGTTCTAAATTTCATGTTGTAAACATCTTGCCCAAAAAAGCAAAGGAGTATATTTTATAATTTTTGATCATTTTCTAATTCATATCCCAATAGATGAAGATTGGTTATAAAATAGATATGTACTAATTTAGTGAATAATTTTTTTTTTTTGTTTTTATATAAATTTATGGAGATATTGCCCCTTTAGGTGATGAGTGACATGAAAAACTAAGTGTCACTGCTTTACAAATAAAAATTCTCATTGAAAAAACTAATGATATATATATAGGTATGCAAGTTCATTTAAACTAAATTTTAAACTAAATTTGGTCAATCATATATCAATAATATTTGGTTGAAAAGACCAGATTTTTTCATGCAACTGTTTCTGAGATATTGCTATTTTGGTGAAAGCTCTTGAATTCAATCATGTATTCGCCATTTTGCTTGCCCACTTTGGGGGTAGAAACATTGTAACAGCTTGCGCATTAATGAGTTAAATTACAAACTACAGCGTCTGTTCGTGTTTTTTTTTGCTTAAATTTACAAACTACAGTGTTCGTTTTTGTATCACTTTTTTGTTCGAATTGTTGTCATCGACGTTGGGTGAACAACAGAAGATTTCATTCATAGCTACTTTACAAAATTTTATTATTAAATTTGAGCTTTTCAGCGTTGTTCGGCTTCGGCTGAAATAAAGAACAATCTTGATGGTTTAAAGACGGCACGTCGAGAAACTTTGTTTTATCTTTTAGACTGTCGCGTGATGACCGCCAAGTTTATTCTTCCATACTATTTGTTGTTAATTACCACAAACTTTTTAAATTTGTAAAATAACAACAAATTGTCAAACGTCAGAACAGGGTCTTAGCTAGAGGGCTGTGTTGGCCGTGTTATCGCGGCCAAAAGTGCAAAAACACGGCTAGATAAAATTAACGCGGCTTCACTATTTATATAAGGCCGTGTATAGGTTAATAAAATAAGGTGGTGCTATACTTACAACAGACAGAATTTCTTCCTATTTACGTCAAGAAAGTTTGTAGAATCTACTGTTGTTGTTGAATTGGCAAAAGTGATCCGTGATGTTTTAATGTTTTGATGGATAATGGGAACTGTATGGTGTTAAAATGGTTTTAAATACCCCAATAGTTGTTGAAATAACTTAATTGTCAGTGCGCAATATGAGCGTATGCTCGCCTTGTATTTGGTTGCAAAGCATAGAACAACCACAGGCATTGTTGTTGGCGAGCATAACTAGAGCCATTATTTTGCTATTCAAAGTAATTGACATGTGCACGCCCTGGTCATTAGAAACACGCCCAAGATCTAAAATCCTAGCTAAGACCCGGCGTCAGAATCTACACTCGGTATAATATTTGTTTACAATAATTTCCGTACTTTAATTACAATTGCCGACGTGAATGCCGAAGTAATTGCTGAAGGAATTTAAGGTGATTTCATTGCGTGCCTCAGCAAAAAAAAATTGCCAAGGCAAATCGAAAATTATCGAAAGACTTCGGCAATTATTTGCCGAAGCAAAAATAGTTGAATTTCGAGGGTTGTTGACCCTCATTCCTCCTCTGGCTTAGACCATATTTCACCTCACCTAAACCAATAAGGCCCACACTCTTGAATATTTCTGTTGATATATATACAGCTTATTCTAAAAAGGTTATCTTTCAATATCTAGGATTATTTGCCCAATTAAAAGCTCTTAAATGGAGTTAACTATCAGTCATGCTCAAAGTTGAAGGTTTGAGGTTTTTGAAGGACAACCCCTTTTTAATTGAGGGTCCTGAAGGGGTAAAATGGGAACTGGGATTGATCTATTTTTAGACTGGGAAAATGGGATTGGGGTTGCTGGGACTGGGATTTGGCCACTGGGAATGGGAAATGAAGTCCTCAAAAATGGGAATGGGATTGAGGTAATGCGAGTCGATTCCCAATTTTTCCACGTTTTAAGTATTTTAAAATACAATTTTGATCCGTTTTTGGTGTCTTTGGTCATGATTTTTGTTGTTAACTATATTATTCACAGCACCACCTGCGAACAGGCATACTCTAGCGCCCGGAATTCTGGGTTTTCTGATGTGTGTCCCTAGTCAGATGCACAGCGGAATATATGCCTGGTTTCCGGTATATACTTCATTTAACCCTTAACTTAGTATATACCTCAAAGGCAAAGAACAACAAAAAATACGGACATGTCGGATACAAACAAACGAACTGTCGTTGCAGAAATCAAATATATTACAACGAATAATACTGCAATACACACAGAGAATTGTAAACTAGAGATTTCTCTACAATGTACAGCAAGAGAACTAGCGAAAACAATCCGTCTCAAGACTGGAATAGGGGATTGTTCTAAGAACTGATGACCAGATGTCTATGTTTTGCAAGAGTGGATCGAAATCACTTAGTGTTAGGGTCGTGCAACGCATTGTTTGCTTCGATAAAGGTTCTGTTAATATCAATATTGTGTTGGATAAAACGGAGTAACATGTCTAACATCAGTAGGTCTCAGTAACTGCATTCCATTTCTGTCAATGGACTCAATTTGGGGGTCGTCAAAGAACTCAAAGAAGAAAGAGGTTGAGAGAGTCATCTAGTAGGGGTACACTAAGTAGCAATTTTGTTTCAATGGTGGGATATTGACCATCGACAATTTCGACAGGGATGGTAACATTAAGACTTAATAAGACTAATAACAGTCTTTACAGATCTATAAAATACAGTATCTGGATCTATTTGACTGTTTGGCTTTGACATCCATGCCATCAATACAAAATTTGGTACACCCTTACTGGCTTAATACCCAATCTAGGTCAATCTATTTGGACTCTATTTGTTGTGTTGTTGAGCTTGAAGACACATGCTCTAGCATAATAAAAGTGTATAAATTGTGATACCACTGATGTTACACACATTCTGACAATGTTAATTGTTTTTGAGTCTAGTAAAACAAATGCACTGTAGTTTTTTGTATTGACTGATCTCCACTTTAGTCAAGAGTTGTTTTGGTTGAGGTACAGTATAATACAAATGTTATTTAACTTTTCTATTTAATTAAGACAATTAACAAATACTTAGTATATTGTTACCAGTAAACAATGTTGTTGTTAATATCAGCTGTTACACAATGGTCAATAAAATTTGATGTTTCATTATGTTCTAGGACTTCTAGCTGAATTGTTAAAATAATTGTACAATTTGTATTGCAATGAAGATTGAGTAGTGGGTTTTGAGCATTTAGATTGAGTAAATAAGACAAATAAGCAAGCATTATTTTTTTCTTTTGCTTGAAAGACTTGACAGTCTTGACAAGTAATTAAACTTTGAATAATGACAATATCCAGTAGTCAATTCGATGTCTTTGATGTCTTCGATCAATATAGTCAATATAGAGTTTATTGACTTTATTGACTTTCTATACATTTAAGATCATCACCAGACTCACCAATATTTGGCTGTGATGTAACAAACCGTTCTATTTATGGTGGTGATCTTGGACAGCTTGACGAATCGGGAGAGAGTGTTGATGTGTCATGTTTTGGACCATACGTAGCTCAACTTGAGCTTCAGGAACCGGATTCAATTGATGTACTTTGTGATTCATCTGTAGATCTTGTAGCTCACCTAGGAGTTCATGATGATACATTTGTTGCAGGGGATATTGAGGACTCTGAAAGATTTTGTCTTGACTTTGATGATCAAGATGTGGAAATGGAAGAGACAGATGAGTCCTTAATTCATGGCAACACGGATAGTCCCTTTGATTTTGATGAGTTAGATTACTCAAACTATAATATGTTGCCAATAAGTGTTGAGCAAGCGGATGATGTTAGCTTCAACCTTGGACAAACTTGTCAAAAGAGGGAAAATTGAAAAGGATGGGATCTTCTACAAATACCTTAAGGGCGTGCTACAAGTCTATATCACACCTACTGAGTACAACTGGGATCATGAAGTGATTGAATTCTTCAAAACATTGAAGTGGTTAGGGGGCCAGAGCACAGTAAATATGATCAGGGGCCCAATGTGGCATGGTGCAGGTAGAGGAGGCGTGTTTAATCCTGATAAAATGGTACCAAACCTTGGAGGGCCGTCTGATCGAACACTAACCAAGCATAGTGGTGGCTATACTACAGAAAGTGGTATCCTTAATCAGCTTATGAAAACATTCCATGATATTGTGGATAACAAGGAATCTACAGTTGTAAATTGTGAGGTTTTAAAAGTTGTAAGTGTTCATGCAGAAAATGATGGAACTGCATTGCAACCAGGCTTGCTATTTGATCCCACACAGAAGGTGGTGGTGGGACTTGCAAATGGAAATATAAAGATGGACTACATCAATAATAACAAGGAAAAGAGTCCTGAACTAACAAAGTATCTGAAAAAAAATATAGCCACGGAAGCAGTTGTTACTTTATTAACAAATTCACCAAAGACATCGTTTTTGTCAGTAGGAGTGTCTTATCATAGACAAAAGGGAAAAACTGGGGAAAATTTGAAGGAAAATCTTGTTAAAGAGGTAATGCAGATTCAGTGCTGCAGAGGATGTCTTGAAAAATGCCCATCAGATATCACAGTACAAAGTGATTGTTGTGAATCAAGTGTATGCAACAATTGCCTTTCCTTGAAATCTGTATGCGACAATTGTCAAGATGACGGACAGATTAGTTACCATCCTTCGATCAGGGCTTGTAGAAGTTGCTTGGAGAAAAACACAAAGTGTGTAAAATGCATTGTTCTTACCTGGAGTGTTGATTGTGAGTTGGGAAATCGAAAAATGATGGATCTTGTTGCTGCTGAGTCAATTACACATCTAGAATACCTGGTCGCATTTCCTGACGTCGTACATCTCGCTAAAACCTACAAATGTTCCTGGAGCAACTGGTTCCTGATACTTGGAGAAGGAGTACTCTTGGCACACTACGAATACTGAGGAACGAGTCCGGTCCAGATGTAATGGAGACTCTGCATAGATTGTTGACAGCTGAATCAGTTCGGAACAAACATAGGATGGCAGTGGAACCCCTTGTTGAATTAACATCCAAAAAGCTGCTAGACTACTTAATGTCTATGAAAGATGCTTTCATCACCATGAGCCTTCTTCCATACAGATACAGAATTAGCGAGTCAAACAAGCGAGGACTTTATGAACATCCTTTTGCAATCTGCGTGGCAGGTACGGGAAAACTCGTGTTTTTAAACTGGAATTCGAAAACCAAGTCATCCAATCTAGTACAACTACGTCTTCACAGTCCAGCAGACAGTACAGTACTGCAGAGAAATCTAGAGACAAATGGACTTAGTCTTTGTTACATGAATGTTGTGGCACTATTTTGTGGCCAAAAAGAGATATTATTTGTTGATATAGAAGGTTAGTTTATTGAAGCTAAGAAGACTAACAGCCCGGCTATATCAAATCTTTTATCTTAATGAAAATCTTGTCTCCATGTAGGTACAACCAAGGTGACGCCCACGCAGTTCAAAACAAAAGCAAGTGCTATAGCATTTTTTCAGCAGCATATCGACTCAGATTGCAATGCAGGATCCACATTGAAGGTCTTGCAAGCAAAGATCCAGAATTACCTCGAAAAGAAACGGACAGTTCACAAGAAGCTTGGTTCTATAGGAATTGTTATCCTAAATGAAGAAAGGAGGTTCACGTGTCTATGTCAAGGCAACGGGGATATGATCGTTACTGCATCAAACCATGAAAGGGCCTTTTACCTAATTGCAACTACGTTTGACGGCGTGGGAATACTAGGAACGGCGACATTGATGACTACGTATTTAACTGGATGGCTAGATGTTACTGGTATGGCGTTGTCAGGAGACAACTTGGCAATTTGTGCAGATGGTAAGATTTATGTACATGTTCCATCCCAGAAAGCAACGAGGTTGATAGTTGTGGGTCCTAATATGCTCCCCATATCAAATAAAGCTACAAGTGTGGCGTGGGTTGCGGGTGGACTGCTTTATTGTGAAGATCACTGTTTGAAGCTGTACTACTCTGGCGAGGTTACTGTGGTTTCTGGCGCGGCTGGGAAAGGTGACAAGGATGGCCTATCCTCACAATCAAAACTATGTCAACCAGTTGGAATTTGTGTAGAATTCGACCGAAACATTTATGTAGCAGATTCTGGATCCGGTTCTGTCAAGCTGGTCAACAGACCGTTGAAAGGGATTGTTGACTTTTTAAGTAATTTGCGGGCCCTTCTGGTGGCTTTTAATGTTCATTCTAAGAAAGCGTCAACCTCTGTTTCTCCTACGATTGGTGAAGCCATTAATATGGTAAAAGAAACATTAGAGTATGTGCAAAGTTGTTCAATGAAGTCGAAAGAGTTGCAGTCCTTAAAGGAAAACTCGACTACAGATGGCCCAGAAGGGACAGTTTCAAACAAATGCTTGAAATCCTTGGAGCTTCTGAAGAGATCTATTGAAAGCCTGGATGCCAACGTTAAGGACCTTTCAACAAAACCGGGCTTTGAGTTAAAGCTCAATTTGGAATCTTTGTTGACGCTTCATGTTGAGAATCAGCATGCTGTGACTCACTTTAAGCGGGACACGTTCACAATGTATGAGTATGCCCTCATTTTTGGTTGTTCGATTGAAGAGGCTGTGAAGCGCGTATCAAAGTGGGCAGCACATTACTACACACACCCCAAATCCTATTACAAGCTTCCAACATCTGGCGCAGTTTCTCTACCACGGATCAGAATTCCCAAACCTCTCCCACAGATATTATCCAGAAACGAAGAAGCCCAGATGAGATTGTGGGCAAAACGTCATGGGAAGTGTGTGAGACAAAGAAACGTCAGACAGGATAATACTAAGGACAGAGCAGGCACTCTACCTATAAACTTGTACGAGTGCGAAACAACATTGAACCCTCTTAATTTAAAGGAGCTGAAGGACCTCTCCACCGAACACAGCAAGTCTAGTGAGTCTAGTGAAGATTCCGATAGTGAAGTGTCGTGCAGTGGGTGGGATCCACAGCTTTCCGGGGATCACCAATTGCAGCAGAGAGATCAAGAGGACAGTTTTAGCATCGATGACGATGATGATGATGACGGTGGCAATGATTCTGAAGACGGCGATGCTATCGTTGATGCGTCTCTGGAAAGTCTGGAGACTTTAATTCGACCCTCAAGATTTGGAAGAAGCAGGCGTTTTACTGGCAGAATGGCTGCGTTTTTACAATCGGGGATGTAGTGGTGAGCTAGACATATTCTTAGCGATATAATCTCGAAAGTATGGACCAGTGTTGGTAACGTACATAGACTACGTAGAACTACCTGAAAAAAACTCTATCAAAGTGGGAAGTTACTTAACCGAAGTGGTCCAACGTAAATCCCATGTCCTCGACCTGCAGTGACGGGCTTTATTATTAAGCATGACAAAATTACTGGATGCTGATTGGTAGAGAGGAGTACAATTATTTCATTAATTGTACTGCAGTATACAATTAATGATTTTCCCAAAACAAACAAACTGGCGGAAAGGTATTTTAATTTTTAAACACAAATGAAATTGCCCTAGAGAAACTAGATGAAAATACGAACAAAAGCACCAAATTTTGCTTTAACAAAATAACTAAATGAAAATACGGACAGAAGCACCAAATTTTGGTTGAAAGTCTGGCAGGACGAGAATATGATGTTGATATTGCGAAGTATCCAATTTTGTCATGCTGATAATAAACAAGTGATCATGCGATGTTGGTCGTACAATTACAGATTAATGGTCGCGGCGGCTCGTCCAATTTTGGCAAAATTTCTAAACATCACTCGTACTATTAATCCCTAATTGTACTAGCCATCGCATGATTACCTATACTAATTCAGTGGCAAGAGAAAGCGCATTAACCGCTTCTCCCACACGGTGGATAAATAACTTTTTTTTATTGACTGGGATTTCAATAACTCGGACTGGGATTTCTAATAAAAATCGAACTGGGACTGGGATTTTGCCAAAATTTCAGGTGGGAAATGGGATTGGGACCCCCCCCCCCCCTTCAGGACCCTCTTAATTAGCTGTAAATAAAAAACCCCAGAAAGCTAACTAAAGAATTTATGGTTAATGATAAAATTATTCATATTTTGCTTTTAAGATTTGTTAATTTTATAAGAGTAGTCAGAGACATTTTCAAAATACCATTTACATGTAGACTAGAAATACATGCTTGCAGTGACCCCTCGCCAATATTTTCCAAACATTAAATTAACTTCAAAAACTCATTATTATTCATTACGCAAATAAGCCAATCGGTTTTCTTCATTTATTCACATGTAAAATCTTTCTTTTTAAAAGCCAGGGGAGGGTGTTTGAATTCTGTCTCAGGGGAAATATGGGGTTATTCATTGAAACAATGAAAATGCTAATTAATGTGAAATTTTATATAAAGAATACTAATGAACTTGAGATTTTATATAAAATTTTATTCAGACTATTAATGCCCAAAACCAAATTGTAATACTCGACAACAGCCTCATCATTATTCGGTTTAAAATAGAATGCTTCATTGCTTTTAGCCAAATCCTTGACTTTTTCTATGTAGGTAGAGTAACAATTTACAATGCAAGGAAAATGATTAACATCCTTCCCTGAACAACAAATATGCTGTATAACTCGTGGGTTTGTATTTCAAATCTTTTAGCCCACCATGATTATGTTTTAGAAAAACTTTCATCATACGTGACTGAATTGCAATCAATACAAAAATTATGCACTCTTAGGTTTCTGTGCTCTTTCGACCATATTCCAAACAACTTGCCATTGTAAAAGTAAATAGTACGGACGAGGGACTTAGCTGTTTGACATCCAAGTATATTTTTCTCCCACATAATTTTCTCCTCTTCCTCTGCGACTGCTTCCTGTTCAGCCTTCTTATTCTTCATTCCTACTCCAGCCTTGCAGGTCACCTTCATCTCGGCATCAAGAACACGACGAAACATATTCAATCTATATAATTCAATGCTGAAATCGTCAATCTATTTCACCATTCCTTGCCTTGGCAAATTAATGTAGATAATCATCTAATGCAATATTATACTACATGCATGCCGAGAAATTCTCAACTAGCTACAAAGTTGAAATAAAATCAATACATAACACGAACAAATAAGCCAACGTTTACCTTGTCTCATTGTTATCGAGAATTGACACTGGTACTTCACATTCTTCTTGCAAATGTTGGTTTAGACCGCAGGCAATTGCATACAAGGTTCTGCCAGGGTATTGTTCACCATTTGGTTTACATACTTCCTGGATAAACTTTGCTAACTAGAAATTCAGTGCCTCTACATTTCATCTGTGTAATGCTTGTGTCTAAATTCTACACTTTATTGCAATCAAATGCAAAAGAGCAGTGTTCTAATTTGGCATCTTGATTTTGTCTTCCCATTTGCCATTCATGAAATATTTTTATGCCCATTTTATTGAGTGCCAAGTTGATTTAGGGATAGTGCTTTCCAGCAGCTCTTTCTCATCTTCTACACCTTTTGGTTTTCGAAACACACGAGTTGTCTTCGTCGAATTCATTTCAGTAAGGATACTAATACTTAAAACGGCATTTCCCTTTGCAATAACTCGAGCAAACAGTAAATAGACGTTCATAAGCACATGCAAAGAAACATTGCACAAGTGGCATAATTTTTTATATTAGGAAATCAATTGTTCTTGCTTTATGTCCAAGATGAGTCGTAAACCCAGGACAAGGTATCTCAAGCTTAATTTGTAATTTCACAGCCTATTATGCTCGCGCAGCATTCGCATTTTAAATAAGATAAAATGCTTGTTCATGTGTTTTAAATAGTACATGAAGTATTCAGAAATGGCCCACTGAATGCAGGCTCGCACTCAAGTGTTGCCATGACAACACAATATTCTTAAATTTTAAATTTTTTTCATATTTTTTGTACAAAACTGCAAAATAGTTGAAAGATTCGTACTTTTAACTATACAACAATAAATTTCTGGGGGTATGAATATAGGTTAACAACAATTTTCTGTCCTATTTTTGTCAATTTCATTTTTTTGTAAATATCATTGACAATGTACTCTGCACGCTATTTTTTTCCAAATTTATACTTGACATAATTGGAGACAAAAACATTCAGCATTTACCCATCAACAGGCAATGCTGAAAGTTCTTTACACTTCATGCCAAACTGGGTGGTAAATTACCAAGTTGTTTAGTGTACAAAACAATCAATGTTTTTTTGTCTGTTTTGCATGATCTACTTTTCTTTGCAGATGTGCCTCATTTGATCAAGACTGCCAGAAACTGTCTGTACAATTCTGGATCACACAGTCGATTGATGTGGAATGATGGTAAATATCTCCTGTTTAGACATCTCGCAGACATGTTTTACAATGATCAAATTTTTGCCAAAACTGACATTGGACCATGTTTTGCTAACAAGCTATTCAAAGATGAAGGTGAAATTAGCTGTTCAGGTGTTGAGCGGAGCTGTTTCAACATGTTTGTTGGATTGTGATGACCCCAGTATTGTTGGTACTGCGATGGTTAATGATTTTTTTTTATTGTTGCAATGTCAGATCAACAACAGACCATGAACGGAAACGAAATGAGCAGATCAAGCCATATGAAAGTGCGGATGATGAAAGACTTCTTGTATGGATGAAGGATACTTTCATGAAGTATTTTGATGATTGGAAGACAAGCATTAAAACAACAAAGGGGAATTTCACATTGAAAGAGAAAAGATGTTTTTGTCTCATCAGACATATGAAGGCTTTAAGATATCAATTAACTCCCATGTTGAAAGCTATCAATTTCCTCATTTCTGAAGGGTTTAGTATAAAGTATGTTCTCTTAGAGCATTTCATGCAGGATGTCATTGAGGACTATTTTGGTCATCAAGGGACTCAGAGAGGAAGATCAGATAACCCTTCTGCAGAACAATTTGGCTACAATAAATTAACCATTGCTGTTAAGAGAGACATTGTAACATCTGTGAGTGGTAATACTGGAGGGCAATATGGTAAAGCAAAATGATACAGTATTTCAGATCAGCCTGTGAAAAAATGTCGGAAAAAGAAATGCCTAATGTCCCTTACGAAAATTTCCTAAAGGAATTCCTATAGGAAATCAAAATTCCTATAGGAATTC